TAAACTCTGGAATTCACACTCTGAACAGAAACCTCTCCCCCAGGATCCACATCTCTCCTCTGCTGTAAATTACAGCTTTGTTCGGTCACCTGTACAACCGTCTCCTTCAGCTCAGAGTCTAATGCTGCTGCGTTGACCATCACTTACCCTCAATCTGAGGAAAAGTCATCTCTCGAAACATTAACTCTGCTTTCTCTCCACAGACGCTCCCAGACCTGCTGGGCTTCTCCAGCTATTTCTGTTTTTATTTGCGATTTCTAGCTTCCACAGTATTTTGCTTTTTTTGATGTCTTTCCCTCCATTTTGTGTTTGATTTGCTGCAGACATCGGTTATCTCCTGGTGCTGTGACCAGCTGGTCAGTGTCAGTGTGAGCTGGAGCCTGACCAGTGAGTTCTCCTGTAGGCTATTCCGGTACAGTGTGCATTTGAGTCAAGATCGATCGAACTTTCCACAATCTCCGATCCAAACCCCTTTCCATATCCCTGTGGCCCCTCCGCCAGCCGAGGTGAGTTGCCTCCAGGTCGGGAGATGCAGTGCCTTTTGGAGATGTAGCTCCACTGGTACTAGGAGCATCCCATTCCCTCACCAGGTCCATGTCCTCTTTGTGAAATTTGGTTCAAGACTTTCTGGACCTCACCCACTCATGCACAATCTTGCCCGAGCCCCTTCTCTCCCTTGTGCCCCCCACCTCCACCCCACAATCCCCCACAACTTGTCTAGCCCTGAGATTCTGAGGTTGCTGGAAATGTGACTGGTTCACTTGAACGTTGAACCTTTGTATGACTCAATGAGGGCAAAGTTCCTTCACTGAGGGAGAAATGGTTTTGTTGATTTTGTTAAGATCCTTGGGAAGTGATTGGTCTTTTGGACTTTCAGAATCTTTTAAGGAAGGAGTGGTTGCTGCTTCCTTTCTGAAGTTAAATAATTTACTTCCACTATTCAATTAAATCAAGCAAATTGGTGAATATTGAATTTTAACAAAAAAAAATCCACTGGTTTAAAATAAAACAAAGTCAAACTCGATGCGATTTCCAAATGGAACAACAGACCTTTCTCTTTTCCAAGTTCCACTGTTATTGGAGAGCGAGGGTGGTTGAAGGATGGGTACCCTGCCCGTTGAGGGTCCTGTATGAAGTGAAGAGTAGGGTCTGGTTTAGGCTGCCTCAGTGAGACGAGGTGAGGTAAGGGTCCAATGGCCAGAGAGTTGTAGATGTAGAACTGTGACTTGGCCTGATGAGGCCCCTCAAATTGTCCATTGGCAGATGGTGACCTTTGGGGATAAGTTTCTGGCACAGTCTAGTCACAGAATGGGAGAGTCTGGGGTGTAAACACTGAACCCACGATGGACCTAGTGTCGACCCACTGACTTACAATCCCCCTCTTTTGGCTGTCTGCAGTTCTCTTGCAGATTCGAGATTGGAAGCTTATTCCATATGGAGACAGTTACTCCTCCTGTGATTTTAGAGTGAGCAAACTGAGATGGGGTGACACTTCAAAGCCCTGAATGGCCAAATCAGCACTTGTGGATTGAGATTGTAATCGACTGGCTCTCCTGAGAGCCAAGGGAAATCTCCTTGTATAAAGTTTTCCTCTTGGCTTGACAAGGGAGTTGTATCCATGAATTATTCATGTTGGTGCTGTATAACATTCAAAGATGACTGTCAGTGAGTAGCACCGGTGTATTCGGGGGAAGCTAGACGTCAGTGCAACTTCAGAATTTGGTATTCTAATCTTTTTAGTGTGAAGTCACACAACATCAGGTGTCATCTGGTCCTGACTGCACCTGATGAAGGAGCAGAACACCGAAAGCTTGTGAGTTCAAATAAACCCATCATAGGAGCAGAGCTGCTGTGTTCATCCAGCCCTGCACCTTGTTGTCTCGGATTCACCAGCATCTGCAGTTCCTACTATCTCTGTTGGACTATAACCTGGCTTCATGCAACTTCTGACTTTGTCCACCCCAGTCTAACACTGGCACCTCCACATCATGGCTATTAATCATTATATGGCAGAGATGAACAGATTCCACACTAATGAGGGAGTCACAGCTTATTGGGGGTTGATAGGAATGTGGAGTTAAGATCAGTTGTGATGTTTTGAAATGGCAGAGCAGAGTCGAGAGAGAATGGCCCACTCCTACTTTTAATTTGTGTCTCTGAGTGTGGAAAAGCGTACAGTGTGGTGCTGGGGAAGGGGCAGGAATGTATTGCTTTGCTGAGATGAAGAAGGGTGTAAAGCTCCATATGAAGCACAAGGGCTAGGATGGATTTATTGGGCTGAACGTTCTATTAATGCGTTGACATACCCTGTAATTAAAAGAGAAATTCCAATCAGTCATTACTTAGACTCTTTGAAGTTATCTAATGTTCTTGCGTTTTGTCAGGTCACATCCCAGTATTCTGAGGATCCCCAACGAATTGTTCTACGATAATGAGCTGAAAGCAGAAGCCGATACGTTAATCAGTCATTCTTACTGTCAATGGCAACACCTGCCAAAGAAGGTATGTTTGACAGTGGGAGCTTTACCCTGATGTTTGCTTACTTGTCAACACTTTCCCCACACCAGGGTAACTGTCCGTATTCCATCTGCCACACCAGGGTAAC